CTGCCGCAGGACCTCCACCAGGGAGCACCGAGTGCAGCCCTGCCCATTGTGCACCCTCCCCTCACCAGACCAGTGCAGGCACTCTCTACACCCCGAGCTCTGCACTGCAGCCTCCCCTCTCATCAGCTCTGTCTGGGTGCCTACGCTGGCCACCGCCGGGGCAGCCAGAGCAGAGCTCCCAGACCAGGCCCTGGTCATACAACGAGGGCTCACCATCCCGCTCGCCTGCCCGCGCGAACTGCCACGCAAACTGCCTCGACCCTCGACCCGCTCTGTTTACCCGCTCTGTTTGCTGCGCTCCTGGTCGCTCACCCTCCCTGGGGCGGGTTTTTAATCATCATTCTGTGTGTATTTACAAAGACATCTCCAGAGGAAATTATTTTCTACAAAGTTCTGAAGTGAGACATCAAAATCTACTGAAACTAATATGCAGCAGACTTGGTTCACAATGGCATTTCTCCAGCATCACAAGTAAATGGTGAACGAGGCTTGGGATTCTATTTTTAATATCCTTTTCCTCCCGCTGGAAAATGCTGCCTATTCCATATAACTTGCGTATCAGACAAGTTGGTTTTATTCTATTTCAGCATCTAGAAGAGAAAGACAATAGTTTCCAAATGTTCAGATACTAAGATTATATTTTCTGCAGGGCTTCTACTGAGTGACCAGGTTATTAGCTCTAATGCTTAATTTTTTACTTTTTACTGAGTATTACTTCAGTCACGCAATTGAAACATCTCACTGGAGCCTGCTCTGTGGAGGGGATCACTGCATAATACAGTCTAACCACTTGTTCTCCTCAGCTGCAGTCCACACCCAGGCCCTTGAGCAGCAACAGGGATAAAGGAGGAAGCAGGGAGGGAGTGGTGGCTTTTCCACTGGGAATTCCAATCGGATTTCTTCAAATTCAGAGTCTGCTCAGCTGGGCAGATCCAGTTGCTTTCCAGCAGCTGGTTGTATCAGTGTACAGTAGCTGAAAGCACTCAAGGCAGCAAAAGCATTTCTGTACTCTAATATCCCAGCATTTCTGAATACGTAACATACTTAAATGAGGCAGGAAAGTACAGTTATCCCCTTTGTAACAGAAACAATTTTGGCACACCAGTGAACACCGTTTATCTGTGGTTAGTCAAGCTACTTCAGAGTAAGAAAAAGTTATAGCACATGCTATAAAACCTAAAAGGAATTTAGTACTTCCCCCAAAATAACAATTAATCCCTAGCAGAATCAAAGTGAAATTCACCATGCAGCTTGGTCACTCATGTAACACTGCTATGTTGCAATTTGCTCTGGATATATTACTTACCATTCTTCGCATCTCTACAGCCAACATGATTTGTCCCACACCTCCTAAAACAGAAGAAGGCTGAGTCTCTTCATACCTGTGTCCTATTCAGAGACGTCTCCTTCCCATATGTCTGCATTCAGCCAATGCAATAAACCCCAGCATCCACATCAGCTTGATCCACACTGCACATTTCCTCCACCTGCTATCATCTGCCTCTTCCTAACAATTGCATTGGTTTCTTCAGATGAAAACCTGTAACATCTCTAAGCAATATTATCTCAGAGCAGTGATGGACCATGAGCTGTCCATTGCTAATCAGGAACAAGATCCCAGGATTGCAATCAGTAGTTCCATGGAAAATAAAAATGCACTTGATGCTCTGCAGGGGACAAAAATCCCAACTCCAAACCAAGTGTCAGCTACTATTCGGTAAGAAAAAGGGATAAAAAAAGACAATCATCATACAAATTCACAGTATTCCTATCTTGGGTATTTTGAGAAGCCCTGGTCCTCCCTGCTATAAAGGTGGGAGAAGATGACCAAATGTCCCAATAAAAGTTACAGAGACAACTTCCACACAATGACTGACTGGGATATATTGCAGGAAGAGGTTTAGAAGTGTCATCAAAGCATGCAGGGGTAAAATCGTGAAGACCAAAGCTAGGCCACAACTGAAATCCATGAGGGATGTGAAAGACAATAAGAGCATGTGTAGTTACATCAGCAGCAAAAGGAGGACTAATGAAATTGTGGTGTTGCTGCTTAACGGGGCAGAGCACGTAGTGGCACAGGATGTGGAAAAGACCATGTCAGTGTCATTGCTACTGGCAAGGTGTCGTCTTGGGACTCCCAGATCCCTATGGGTAGTAGCAAAGCTTGCAGGAGAAAGGTGCTGCTCACAGAATAGGAGGATGATGTTAAGGGCTACTTAAATAAACAAGACATATGTAATCTCATGGGATTAGAAACAACCGAGCACACTGAGAGATGTCCAGTGTCACTGTGAGCCCACCTTCTGTCATCCCTGAACAATCGTGGTGCTCGTGGAAGGTCCCCAAGTGCTGGAGGCAAGGAGGATCTGGGGTATGGGGATCAAAGAAGACATGGCTCATCAGCTTAACCTGAAGTGATTTCCAGAATCAGTAAGAGCAAGATGACTGGGAACAGCCAGCATGGATTTACCAAAAGCAAATTATGCCTGACCAGCCTGAGCACCTCTGTGATGAGAAGACTAGCTCTGAAGGCAAGAGGAGAGCAGATGTTGCTTACTTGGACTTTAGCGATGACATGCTTCCCCATAGCATTCTTATAGGCTAGGAGGAAATAACGACTGAACAGGTGTGCTCTGCAACAGATCAAGGGAAAGGCAGCAAATGAGTGCATCTTTCAGATCGAGTTTTCTCAATATTACTATTTCTGCGGTAATAAGAAAGCTCATGGTACAGTAAACTTTGTCCTGAATCTGAAATTTTAATACACCAAAGCTGGCAAGTTTTGCTACTGTGTGGGAGAGTGTCCAGATGCAGAAGTCTGTGTTCATTCCAGTGATTATTTTTAGATGAATAACAATATCCACCTTAGCATAGCAATATACCCTGCTTTCAGACCATGCTGTGAAGTACTCTTGCACCTCAGTCTTACTATTCCAATTATACCTCTACCCACCATATTCCTTGTGAGTACCAGGACTCTCTGCCTGATCTGTAACAGTGTAGTTTAAATCTACCAGACTTACCACCTATGACCTGTAGCATACAGCTTAGGTCTTCCAAAACCATGCTAAAAACTATAAGGTATCCATGCCTTCTTAAAGATCTTAAACACATTTCCTGGCCCAGAACAAATACTTTGCTTCAGTATTGTACTTTTTGAGAATTTATGGTTTTAACAGTTTATTCTAACATTTAAGAACTTCTCATGCTTCTACAGCTATTTATTTATTTTTAATAAAAAAGTATGCTCTCTGCAAGTGTAGAATCATTTCTATTAATTCCCTTTATTAAGGGTTAATATAAAAAAGATTTAGATCTGTTTTCCTTTTACTTTCTATTTATTCCTTCCTCTCCTTCTATGCTTGCAGCTGCACAAATTCAATGCCTTAAAAAAGTCATCATCCCTAAAAGTCACATTTTGCATGTGTTGCTCAATTTTGAAATTACCTGATCAACCTGCTTTCAACACTGACCTGCCAAAGAGCAAATTTTACCTGTGCTTTTAAAACCCCTCTGAAAGCAAACTTGCAATGCATAGCCTTAGTGTAGGTAGGGGAAGGAAACAAATGACAGATGAGTTAATGGAAAAACTGTTCTCAAGGGCAGGTGAACCAGCCAGGCTTCGGGCACGGCTGCTCAGGGTCAGGGTTTCTTGCTCATCCTCAGTCCGCATGCCCAGTCCTCACTGCTCCCCAACCTTCCCAGCCCCACCAGCCAGCTCTACACTCTGTGCCCCCAACGGTTTTGGGTTTGAGTAACATGGGCCTCTTGCTCTGCCTGTCCTCATCCTCTCCTCCACCGCCTGCACAGGGAACTGACACAGCCGGGATGGCCATGCTGAGTGCTGCCTGTCCCCATGTGCCTTGGCCAGCAGCAGCAAGAGCAGAATATGGCCCCAGAGCAGTCTCCCCTCCAGAGGTCATTGTCCATTCCCCTTCTTGCGCTCCCTCCTGCCAGCCAGCCCTGGCACCCGGCCTGGATTAAACTTGATACACCCTGGGCAGGCTGCCATGGGGCCGTGGACAGGCCTGACACCACGGCAGGCCTTGATGGTGGCTGTGCTCTCCTTGCTGAGGGCTCAGAGGTGGCAGTGGTTTCTCTCCTTGCCCGCAACAGCTGTGTCCCCTTGCTGTGCCACTGCTCACCTCTATGTCTGCGTACTGTCCTGCCTGCAGCCCTGCTGCGAGCAGGGCATGTGTGTGTGAAAGCATGCATGCATGCGTGTGCACAGGGGTGTGCCTGTGCACCTCTGGTGTATCAGTGGGCATACATATATAGATAAGCATATAAGCATGCATGCAGATATACATGTCCCTGCACACGTCCCTGTGTGTGCGTCTGCGTATACGTCCCTTGGTGTGTATGTGGCTATAGACTCACAGAACCATAGAATGGTTTGGGCTGGAAGGGACCTTAAAGATCATCTAGTTCCAAGCCCCTGCCATAGGCAGGGACACCTCACACTAGACCAGGTGGCTCAAAGCCCCATCCAGCCTGGCCTTGGGATGGCGCATTCACAGCTTCCTTGGGCAACCCATTCCAGTGCCTCACCACCCTCACAGTAAAGAACTTCTTCCTAACCTGCACTTTCCATTTTAGTTTAAACTCATTATCCCTTGTCCTATCACAGGTATCATATCTATCCTACCCTATATGTACATGCATGTGCCTGTCAATCCCCACACACAGGGATATATGTATATATATGTATATAGGTGTATATATGCATAGATACGTAGGTGTGCGTGCGCGTGCACACTGCGGGACACGCGCGTATCACCGCCGGCCCCACTCTTAGCTACCGCACTCCTCCCGCCCCCGCTCGGCAATCCGCCCCGCGCATGCGCCACCCGCAGCTCCGCCCCGCCCTTCGCGTCACCACCCCCGAGCTCTGCGCTGACCGCCGCTCCATACGGAGGGAGCCCCGCCCCCTGAGCCCTTCGCTCCGTTGCCCTCTTCCAACATGGCGGCTGCTGCCTCACGCGCGCAGGCACACAGGCACCGCCCCGGCTCCCTTCCGCCGGGAGCCGCGTGTGAAAAAGACAGGAAGAAACCGGCCCGGGAGCTCTATGGTTTGGCGGGGTGGGTAGCGTGGAGCAGCCGATTTGTCCTCCCGCCCCTGCCCGCGTTGCACGCCGGGACGCAGCGGGTCCTCCTTCCCGCCCCCCCTCCCCCCCAACCCCCGCCCGTCCTCCGAGCTTGCGCTGCGCCGATATCCGCGTTGCTCCCAAGATGGTGGTGCGGGGCTCGCGCTGAGAGTGAGCGAGTCCAAGACAGGAGGCGCAGCTGCGGGCCTGGCCCGCCCTCCCGCTCTCGGCAGGCCGCTCCCTCGTCCCTTCCCGCCAGGCCGCGTCCCCGTCTTCTCCGCACCGGGGCCCCGACGGCTCCGGCGGCAGCAGCAGCGGCGGCGGCAGCGGCGGCTCCTCGCCTGCGGCCCGACCCCGAGCGCAGCGCGGCCCCCGCATGATCCCGGGCGGCGGTGCCGGCGGGAGTGACCGGGAGCAGCAGGCCGCGGCGCCCAGGTCGGTAGGCGCTGCGCAGCGCCCAGCCCGGGGAAGGGCCGGGACGGGGGATGGCGCCCGGCTCACGCCGGCCCGGAGGGGGAGGGAGCCGGGAAGCGGCCCTGCCCGTTTCCCTCCGCTTGGGAGATCCACTACCGGGGGTGGGGACGGCAGGCGGGAGGCGTCGGCGGCAGGGGTGCATGGCCCCCGTGGTCATCCACCTCCTCCCCGTGAGGCACATGGGTGCGGGGCCTCCCCGTCCCTCCCCAGAAGCGGGAAGGCCGGGCGGGCAGGTGGCTGGGCTGCAGCCCGCCCCCAGGGAGACCTGGGCTTGCTGGGCGACCTTGGGTGAACCTAGCCTGGCCCTGCCTAAGTTTTGCGGTTCTGCGGGGCTGCCGTGGGCACGGGGCGCCTGGGTGCTCTCGGCATGGCCAGCTGGGGCAGCCGGGGAGGTGCGTGTGTGTGAAGTACTGCGAGGGTGCGTAACTAGTGTGCAAGGCCTGCTTAATGAAGTAGCTGTGTTCACTTGCTCTTGTTACCTTTGATCCAGTCTGAAGAGTCGGATCTTCTAACCTGAACAAACTGCTTTGCTAGTAAACGGCATCTGTCACCTCCCGCTGCAGGACTTTCGGGGTTCCGTTTTTAAGTGTAGCGGCAATCGTTCTTTTAAAGGAGCTCTGTGGGGCATTACAGTTCACAGCTGATTTGTGTATCTGATGTCTAAGATGAAGTGATGTGGTCATTCAGAAGTTAGTACTGCTGAGGGAACAAAGCATGGTCTACAACTCTCCTTTAAGTGGCAAGGACCTGTAATCCATAGACTTTTGGTTATGCTTTTTTTTTTTTCCTTCCCTTCTAGTTAATGGGAATACTTTGTTTTCTTCTGTGTAAGCTGTGTTACAGCTCTGGAAGAAAACCTATGTCTTACACATCACTTCAGGAATGGCCTCTCTGTGTCTGTATGGAAACTTCCCTGCCTCAGTAGGTGGCTGTGCAAACCTGAGGCTCTGTGAGAATCAGCTTGTCAGATTAGTTTTACCATGCCTCTTGCAGGTCTACCAGAAAGTTCCTCGGTGGGAAATTTTTATCTGATTTGAGCTTTGATTCCTAACAAAGTAAAATGTATTGTTATTTTATGTTTTTGTTTATGTTGCTGACTGGTTTGAAAGGAAGAGGTCTAAAACATAAGATTAAGTTACTAATTCATGCAAATAGCATCCAGTTAGAGATTCCACGCGAAGAGGGAAGCTAAACTCTAGGTTGTGTTGTTAGACATCTATGACTGGGTGAGTTGATAACAGAGGTAGTGAGAGGTACCCCTTGATAAGAATGAAAACTGCTGGAAAACAGGCTTTACAGTTTTAACAAACTGTTTAGTTTGGGTGGTAGCACGGAATACTCTGTGCCCTTTCATCTTGGAAACAGTTGAAGGTTTGAAAATACTGTGAAACTTGGAGTGTGTTGAATTGAAAATAGGAAATGTGCGTTACCAAATGGCTATGGATATTCCACAGTTTTCCTTACATTCGTCTTTTAAAAAGTTTGCAGTGCCTATGACTTGTCTTTGTAACAGTAACGTTCTGTCAATTTGATATAGACAAACCTTGAAAGAAAATCTAGATCACTGCTTAGGTTTACAGGTCTGAAAAATATCTTTAATTGAAATTATTTCTGTGCAGTATTATGGGATGCTGCATCTCTCTTTTATGAACACCTTCCGTTCCACTCTAAATGTTTGCTGTTTAATGTAGTGTCTTTCATACTAGAATCAACAAGTTTTTTTTCTGTTTACCAGCATTGTTTGCTGGTTTTCCTCCCTGACTATCCCTAGTATCTCCCAAGAATTTATAAATAAAAGCATCAAGCTAGATGGCAAAATAGCTTGATTTGTTTGGGATTTTCTAGGGACATGATTCTGTGACTGTGTAAAGAAAGTGACTGAAGGGAAGGCAGGCTTGGAACAGCAGATGAGTTTACCTTGTTCACAGCAGTGTGTTTTAAAACCTAGAGCTTTCAGTTCAGGTGCTCTTCAGAACCCTTAACATTGTGTGGGTTGATCCTTTTTTTTTAGTAGCAAACAAAGCTTTTAGTCTTTTCTTAATTACTGCCACTGCTTAAAGACATATGCAGATGATTATTCTTTTGTGGATGGGATTTAAAACTGTGTGTGTATGTTAAATACACCAAGGGATGTTCTCAGCTTCTTAGAGCACCTTAGTGATATTGTCCCTGTTCTAATTGACTTGAGGAAATAAAACGGATACTTTTTCTTTTCACTTCATGTTTGGTAGGAGCAAGCCTTTTTCAGAATTATGAAATATGTACCCCAGTAGGAAATCATGCTTATTTCACTATGAATATTTGCTTTTTAACCTTGTAACATTTTGTATAAACAGTAGTGTAGGACATGATATGGCATTTAATGTGGAATGAATATAATGTTTACATTCTTATAACTGCATCAAATATGCATCACCTTAGTTTTTGCTATGGAATGAATTTTTTTTTTTTCCCTCTGCTTCTTTTGGTTTCAGTTTATTTAGTGAATATTCAGAGAGAATTAATCTTTTTTTTAAATTCAGGAAATGTTTTTCCCTCTCACCACAGCAGTGTATTCATAAACGGGAAGATAAAAGCCACTAACTCTTAAAATAGAACATGCAATTGAGGGACAAGGGGAAAGAATTCCTAAAATATGTAGGCATATATCCCATTTTCAGTGTCAGTATTTGATACTGTGGGCCAGGTCTTTGCTTCACTTTAGTTAATGAATTGATATTGATTTTTAAACAAAGGAGATGTTTTACACTTTTTTCTGAAGTATCCAGTAGCTGTGAGTTTTACAGAGAAGTGTTGAAAGATTTTCTGTCATTAATCAAATGCTGATCTGTACATGGAAGACGGTAATACATTTGCTGTCAGGTTCTGTAATAAATAATATAGAATACGATGTTTACTAAAAAAAAATAAAAATATCATTTTCTCCCCCACTCCCAGGAGAGTGTTGTAAGCTTTGCTAAATATTTGGTTCCCAGAAACAACAGCAGTGAGCAAACCACATGTTAGAAGTGTTTTTTTGTCATCTTAATATTTTGACCTTAACTTTTACTGCATTAACTTCTTGTACTTACAGGCAGTGCCTGACAGCCTTATAAAGCCCATGAATAAAAGTTTGGAAAAAAAACAGGCTCATATGAACAATAATGTGTGTAATGTATCTGGTTGGTCTGCAGAAAGTCAGCAAATGCAGTGTAAAGGTAACATTTTGTAAGCAACACTTCAGTAGCTATACTGGCTGGTGAGATGTTTCTTCAGGGAAATAACCTTGTAGGATAAATATTTAAAAAAAAAAGATAAAATCAAATAATGTTGAGATCCAGGATTCGTGGTTAGCAATACAATACGTGACCAAATAGCACTTTTAATTGCTATTTTTGAATAGTTCCACCTTCTTGTGGCTGGGAGTTGACAGGACTTATTAACAACTTACTTGTTGCAAAATTACATTATAAATTAAATATTACCATGGTGTTCTGTCTCACAAATACTTGTGAATTAATCTCTGAAAGGAAGCATTAACTAATTCTTACTTTTAATAGGTTGAGCCTGCTTCCCTGTGTTATGAAAACTGCTGAATGGAGGAAGAGGGTGGAAGTCAGTCTTTAGCGATACTCTTTCCTTTACCATCCTGCATGGTTCTTTACCTGTGTTTTACAGAGTGTTGAAGAATTAGGAGAAGCTGCAGTTATTCAGCTGGGTGAACTAAATGGGTGGCTTGCCTCTGGACCCTGACTCTCACTTCACTGTCTTAGGTAAGAGGGGTGACCTGCTTCTTTTGAAGCAACTTGCATTTCCTTAGAACAGGTGTATGTGTTTTAAGAGAAACTTCTAGTTTGTGAAGCAGTGGTTTGGTTTTTTGTTTGTGTTGTTGTTGGGGTTATTTTGTGGGTTTTTTGTCACCTGGTGGCTTGAAAAGAATTATTAACAGCATGTGGCTGTTCTAGAATTGTCTTTGAAAAGCACTCCTATTTGTATCCTTCCACATACCTTTGAAAACATGCTCTATGTTGACATACTTTACCTTTGAGAATCATGCTTATCTTGTGTGGTATTTTGACAGTGGAACTGTCCCATAGGTGAATTACAGCAGTGATAGTTTAGCACAAACTTGAACTGATACACCAGCTGAGTGCTTGATACTGAGGGTATAACTTTTTTCATGGAATCATAGAATAGTTTGGGTTGAAAGGAACTTTTAAAGGTCATCCAGTCCAACCCCCCTGCAATGAAGCAGGGACGTATACAACCAGATCTGCATGTTCAGAGTCCCGTCCAGCCTAACCTTGAATTTTTCCAATTATGCGGTATATACCATCTCTCTGGGCAACCTCTTCCACTGTTTCACCACCTTCATTGGTAGAATTGCTTTCTTGTAATTAGTTTAAGTCTACCCTCCTTTATTTTTGAAGCATTACCCCTTGTCCTATCACAACAGGCCTGTGTTTGTCCTGTCTTTCTTATAAGCCTCCTTAAGTACTGGAAGGCTGCAGTAAGGTTTCTAAAGTCTACCTGGAGCCTTCTCCAGGCTGGACCACCTCAGTTTGCTCAGCCTTTCCTCATAGGAGAGGTGCTCCTGCCTTTTGATCATTTCTGTGACCCTCCTCTGGACCTGCTGCAACAGATCCATGTCTTTCCTGTCTGAGGATCCAGGAACTGGAGGCACTACTCTAGCTAGGGACTCACTAGTGCAAAGCAGAGGGGCAGGAACACCTCCCTCAACCGTCTGGTCACACTTCTTTTAGCGCAGCCCAGGATACAGTTAACATTCTGGGCTGCGAGTGCACATTGTCAGCTCATGTTCATTATTTTATCCACCAGTACCCCCTAAGTCCTTCTCAGAGGCACTCTGTATTGATATCACCCAGCCTATATTGATACCAGGTATTGCTCTGACCCAGGTGCAGGTTATTGACACTTGACTGTGTTGAACCTCATGAGGTTTGCATGGGCCCACTTCTCAAGCATGTCCAAGTCTCTGTGGATGGCATCCCGTCTCTCAGGTGTGTCAGCTGCAGACTTGCAGGGGGTGCACTCAAACTGTACATATTAAATAGTACTGGACCCAATACAGACCCCTAAGGAACACCAGTCATCACTGATCTCCATCTGGATGTTGAGGTGTTGACCACTACCATCTGGTTGCAGCCATCCAACCAATGACAGTTGAAACACATGCTGATTGTCTTGAATCACCTCCCTGTCTTCCATGTGTCTTAGTGTTCAATCCTGGTGTGACATAATGTCAAACCTGTGACCTAAGTACCTACATAAGACAAAGTATCAAAACCTATAAGGTGGTTTGAAACCCAGTTTAGGTTTGGTCTTGGTGGGCCTTGCCTCAACCAGTGGGATCACAAGCATAAAATTATGGAACCTGTATTTGGGTTTGGCTAATTGCACAGCTGCAATTAGTCCACATGATTTTCTTTTTATTCTGTCCTGTGAGGACTGCGGCAGTACTCCTGCCCTGACCAAACTAGAGTTCTAGGGACAAAGCTAGTTACTCATCTGTCCTTCATAGAGGAGATCACACTTCTACTCCCTTTGATGGACTCTTTTTTGGACTTGTTGATACTCCCTTGATAATTGTTACATTAAAGAAATTGGTGAAATGAAATGAGAATGACAGACGAAAACCCCTTTTCCATACCTTTAGGAGCTGTGTGCAGGGGAGGCACAAGACCTGTGTAACATGCCAAGCTTGCACGGTGCTGAGAGATGCCAGACTTGTCCAGGCAGCTGGGCTCTGGCACTGCTTGTGTACTCTTGCTCTGGTATGCTCTGTGGGACCCAGGTTGGAGCAGCTGCAGTTCAGCAGGCTTGGGGTGTCAGGGGGTGGTGGAGTGGCTCTTAAAGGAGCTGAACTTCTAAAGTGGTCTGCAGGTCAAAGTACTTCAGAAAATGCTACCATAGTTGTAGACAAGTTTTTCTTCTGCAGATGGTTAGTCATGTGCAGGAGCTAATTAATGCTTAAAATATTTTGATTTTACAGTGTGGTAATTTTCATTTTCTTAAAAGCTATCAAACTTCTACAAAGCTAGACGATATTGAAGAGGTCTATCACTACTTCAGAATTTCTGTTTTCAGTATCATGTCTCCAGCTTTCTTATTTGTATAGCCATACTCAGATAATGATTACTTTTTATTTCATAGTGAAATCCCTTGAGCAAAATTGTGGTAATAAATGCTGTGGTTTAATATGTGTATATACCCTATTTTGTTTTTAGAAGTTCATGGTATATGAGCATACACAGGCTGCAGTGGCAGCACTTAGATGTGTTTCAGCTGTTGTAGCAAAACTTACCTATTTGGGACCATGACAATACATACTTAGAGTCTACACAGTCTGCAAGTCCCATCAGAGTTCAAGGGCATGGGAGCTCCTAAGGGAATGTGTCACTTTTGTGAAATACTGGTATTTTTTTGGTTGTAAAGGTTGAGCCCTTCGCATTGTAAGGTGGTGATAAATACTCCATTTGTGTGGCTCCCCTGACCTAAATATCTTACTGAAAGAAGGGTGTTTGTGAATACTTGGTGGTTTTTTGTTTGGCTAATGTTATGTTATGTATGTCAGTCATGGAAGAAAATTATTATTTAAACTCTCAGATTCTCTAATACAATTTCAAATACATAATGCTACATAAAATACCTACTTTTTTTAAGGGTAGCGCTCAGAATTTTTTATTTTGCTCCTGTCTTGTGACAGTTACTGGAAAAAAAAAAAGTGGAAAACATTGTTTAATGACCAGATAGAGGTGATTTCATGATATCTTGCATCAAGCCGGACATGAAAGTTGCAAAGTATTTTTTTGTAATTTAGAATTAATTTCTTAAATATTTTGCAGTTCTGTACATTATAGTTTGGTTAATTAACTAGCTTAGCATCTTTGTTAATATTCAGTGTGCCTTAAAGTCTCCTCTTATTGAAGATATATGAGAGTTGTAAACAAGCAGCTCTTTTGGCTCTGGTCATGTGACACATCAAGATTTCTTCTTGTTGAGTGGAAGGAAGCAAGTGTGTTAGCCATGCTTTAGTCACATTTTCCGTTTGCATTTTTTTTAGGCGGTTGTGGTAGCCTAATGCTAATTAATGAGTACTAAAGGTGAATGTTGAAGCACATATGACTTCATTAAATTATTTTCATTCTTTTTAGACAAGCATTACAAATTCTGTATTTCATTTCGATGTTGGTTGTGTAGCCTTTAAGTGTAGTTTTTTAGTAGACTGCCGAATTCCTGCTTTGCTCTGGTGGTAGCTGGTGGAAGGAGTTTGAAGAAAGAGGACTAGAAGTCCAGGAGCTTCGGTTTTGTGTTGCTGGAATTGCTCATCTGCTGCTAGCTACATGTTACTAAGCAAGTCCTGTGTCTCCCATTTCCTCTCTGCTGTGGTCTTGTTTCTTCTGTAAATTGTACTGTCTTAAACTACACAGCTTCAATTATGTTGGGAACCTTTGTTGTCTTTTCTCCTATTGCTGGATAATAATCATATGATCCTTGATAGATGTGTAATTTTGATACCTTTTCGTGCTATACTTTGTGCTCTGCTCATACACTGTGGATACTGATGGTGCTTTTGTACCTTAAAGGAGACTGAGTGAATTTTATATAGATGATATTGCTTTATCTGTGTACATGAAAAATTATATGCATTGGTGTTTGAGCTGGAAGTCTTGTGAAACAAGGTATGAAAATATTGGTCACATTTGTCAGAATATTTCTGAGTTTGCTTAATGGCAGCACTGTGAATGAAGAATTATTCTTTAACAGAATATAAAATAGATATTCTAGATTTCTGTTGGTATGGAGAAGTGCCACCTCCAAACAGGAAAGTCATCAGTTATTGTTTCATATTGTTCAAATAATTATTTTCTTTTTCTTCTGAATGGTACCAAAGTTTTATTGGTGTAGTTGCATAACATTAACTCATAAATCCACATAATTATCCTAATTGTTTGCTGAAATAGCAGTCTTGTTTCATGAAACAAGTAGGGTGTCCTGTTTAACTTTTTTCTTTACATACAAAAAATTGTGGACAAATTGTTGGTGGAGAGAGTGCTTTACTGGCACGACTGTTTCAGACCAGGATCACCCCATTTCACATCCCTGATAAAGAACTGGGCCTTTGGTGTACTGGTTGGGTTCTCTGTGGTTTGACATCTTTTAAGGCAAACCAAAATGTACTCTTAAGGTCACCAGATCAGTGTTTCCTTTGTGGGAACTCTCATCTGTATTGGAGATCAGCCTAAATCAGCAGCATCGGATTTGTTTGTTCTAAATAGCGTTTTAGAACCTAGAAATTAAGTATTAAATCTTTATGGTACTGAAAATGTGATACTCTGTGGCAAATAAGTAAGTTGGGTGTTTTGGTTTTGTTTGTTTGTGTTTTTTTCTTTTCTTTTGAAAGTTGCTACTAGATTTCTTTATATGCTTATTTCTCTCACTTTTTTCTCCCAGAAACTGGTTGTGCCTTTAGGTATTTGTTGAAGATGTTTGTAGTATGTTTTAATCATGTGTCTGTTGTTAGTTATGGCTTGCCTGAAAACGAATGAATTGTAGATAAGTTTATCAAACTCCACCAGTTTTGTGCAGCCCGGACAAAGATGTAGTTCTATCTGTGACTTCTTTGAGCATTGGGTGTTTTTTTTTTCCTAATGATAATTACCATTAGTTAATTAAAAAAAAAAAAACAACAAAAAACCACCACAATAAAAACAACAAAACCAAACAAAAAAGAACCAAACAAGCAAAACCCCAAAAAGCACAAAGAAACACACAGACAAAAAAACCAACCAACCAACCAAACAAAACCCAACCAAACAAGAAAAAACCACAAGCAAACCCTTCCCCACCCCAAAAAAAAAGCAAACAAAAAAAAAGGGGGGGGGGAGGCAAGAAAAAAACACCAAAAAAAACGGGGGGCAAGAGGGGGGAGAGAAGACCGTGCCAGAATCTTCAAGAAGAAGGAAATGGATATTTATCATGAGCTAGATGAATGGAATTGTAAAACTCTATTGCATTACTGTGGAGGAATGATTTGTGAGCATTGTATGTACAGGCTTTCTGCTTTTGTATTTTCCCTAACATAGTAGATATTTTCTATTGTGCTTTTTATGGGAAATATGATTTAGCTTGGGAAGTCATGATTTAGTTTTAGGTAGTCCTGTGAAAACAGGGGGTTGGACTCTCTATGGGTCGCTTGCAACTGGACATACTCTGTGATTCTGTGTTTCCTTTAGTTGCAGCTTGTGACTGATTGAATGTACCATTTTGAAGTTGTATTGAACTTGTACAAGCACAGTGTGAAAACTTGGAATGTAATGGGGTTTTTTGTATTGTAGGTACGAGAACTCTAGAAGCCCATTTTAAAATTTGAAAGAACAAGTTTCTGCAGCTCTGGAAAGATATGGTATGTTTATGTTTTCACTTATAGTGCATGTATGCTAGTAATTATAGTATGAAATAATTATCTTTTGTTCCCTGGTTAAAAAAATGAAAAGTTGAAAATAAAGTCAGGAAGAAAAATGCATTCATTTTTCCTGTATTTTTTTAGCTGTGATTTTTACTAGTTAGGCATAGTGCTCCAGAAAACCGACTAAATTGAGATTTATTTTTTTTTTTTTTTTTTTTTTTTCCTTGGAGAATACTAAAGATTTGGTTTTGGTTTGTTTGGGTTTTTTTCCTTCCTGCTGAGCACATTTATAGTGAGACTTTTACAGGTTTTAGGAATGGCTTGAAAAATAAGCTCATAACTACAAGAAAACTTAAGTAAACATCAGTGTAAATTAAATATGTAAATTGGAATGCTAGGAAACAGCATTGCCCAGAGAAATTGTGGCTTCCCTATCCCTGGCAGTGTTCAAGGCCAGGTTGGATGGGGCTTTGAGAAACCTGGTCTAGTGGAAGGAGGGTTGGAACTCAATGAACTTGAAGGTCCCTTCCAACTCAAACTACTCTATGATTCTATGAAATACAGAAATGTAGCCTTCATTAGTAGTGCTAACATCAGCTCATAGCATATGGCATTTTTTTGTCTAGGCTCTTGAATGTCCAGGCAGCTTAAAAAATATATACATGTATTACAGCAAGGTTGGAATCTTAACTTGCAGTTATTTTAATTTTCGTTTTCTGACTTTATTCTGGTGTAGTCCTGTGGAGATACCTGGTAGTGAAGAATGACTGCGCCACCCTAGGGTTTCAAGTTCTGTAGTTCTGCAGTTTGGTACTTAAAGAATTTTGGAAGTTTCTTGCGTTGTGGCATTCAGAAAAACAATTACTGGGTTGTTTTTTTTTCTACCATATTAAATATGTCTAATAATGTACATAAAAGCTCTATGTGAATACATGTAATATATAAAATTAACTGCATCTAAGCTACATCCATACTGTTTTTAATCACTTAAAACATGGGAAGAAATCACTAACTGCTGATAAGAGCTTTATACGCCATGGGTGTATGTCTGGGGTTTTGTTTTGGAGATATTTAACAGCGGAAAGTATTTAAAGTTTTGAAATCTCAACCTTGCAGAAGGATTGTTTGGTGTCTGTGTTTTAAGTTCTGTTTCATAGAAAGCTATAGATGGGACTACTTTAAATATAGTATGTGCTAATTAAAGATTGTAAATGACTTAAAGCTATAATGTTACATTATCACAGTCCAGATGTTCCTGAGAGAATTGTATAAATTGGTCCTTTACTGTAGCAGGCATCTGGTAGGTAGCATATATTTTTGCACCCACAGCACCACTGGGACCACCCACCTGCTTCTTGCTCTCCAGTTCAGTACCAGTTGTGTGTATGATGACTCTTCTTCAAACTTAAACCGTTACTTCTTTCTTGCCAGTTTTGATACTGGCTGCTGTTTTCCAAATGTTTAACTGCTTGCCACTGTATGTATGCATAGCCTGTGTACTGGTATGCACTTCATAAATTGATAAAGAATTCCCCTCTAATCCCCCACAATTTGAGTAATGAATGCTAATGGAATATCAGAAGAGCTGTATGTTATGCTACAGAATTGCGTGATTGCTTGGTCTTAATATAACTTACGTCTAAACAAACATGCTGATGATACTAAAGAACTTGGTGAACAGAAAGGTATTTTACATGGAAGGCTGCATGAAGGATGGGTAGCAAAAGAAAGCAAAATAACAAAGTATAAACAAAAGGACAGATGGAATAGAAGTTTAAATATTAAAACTGAAGTGAAGGTGTAGAACATACGTGTTTGGAAAATAATTTGATACCCAGCCAGTAAAAGGAGAACTACTAGAAGAAGTTTAAACAGATGATTGGATTTCACCTCCTGATGTAGGAGGGGTTTTCTAATCATAACTGCATTATTATTTTGGTGGGAGCCTGTAATAGCAGGCATAATTGAGTTAGAAACAAATGGCTCTGCTGTAAAACCAAGGAGTGTGTGTAGTGGAAAAAAAAACCCAGCTGTGTTCTAAGTGAAAAATGTAGAAACTAAAGATTATTTCAGGTCTTTCCCTCTTTTACAGAGGTGAATAAACTACATCTATGATCTTATTGAAATATCAAACCAAAACCAGATGTTGAAAGGAAAGTCTAATACACAGAATTGCAGGGCTGGTTTTAGAAAATAAGTCGCGGGCTTTTAGCTTGGCACGAGGGGGGGGAATGGGGGCAAGCACTAGACTTTTTTCTGTTACTGTATGATTTCTGGACTATTGACATACGGGCAAAGTAAGTATTCAAATATTAACAAGATTAAGCTTTTGTGTAAATCTGTAGTTGATCTCTGTATATCAGGATGCACCAAATTCTACTTTTATTAAACTCAGTAACTTGTGTTTTTACTGAAGTGTAAATTCCAGAATGGTGCCAGCTTTAATCTGAAGATAGTAGCAAATTCAGATCCCTACCCCAAATAATTTATTCGAGTGTTAATTATCCTTGCTGTTCTGCATGTTTCTCTTCCTACTCTAATTTGAATTTGTCAGCCTTCAGTTTCTAGTCATATGGTGGTTTTATATGCTTTCTTTTAATTGGAAGCTCTTTTTTATGTGTTCTTTATGTGCAGTGAGAGGACTTAGTTACTTCCAGTATCCATATTGATTAGCATGATTAACTTTGAACTTTTTCCATTATCTGATCACAAGGCACTTTTTCCTATATTCATGCTGTCTTTGTGACTCTTTTCTGCTACTCCTAGAACACTGCTGAAGAATATTGAATAATTGGAGAACTGGGCATAAGTTTTGAACATGTCAGAAGTACTTTATGTAGATGAACAGGCACTTTTCCAGGAGCCCTTCATATCAGTTGTTCTAGCTGTAATACTGGGAGCACGTGTGTGTTTGCATATCGGTTACGACTGTTTTAATTACTTCAGGTTGGCATTTTCCAGGATAGAACCCAATTCTTTTGGTCTTCTAACTCTGTGACTTTGTTATTTGCTAGATGAATGGTTTGGCTTACTAGTCAGTGGGCAAAAAAAGTACAGATGCATTACTACTGGTTTTCTGCGGCTCCATTAGGATTTATGTTAACAAGTTTTCTTAGTGGATGTTTTATTTTACTTTAGGCTCAGTCAACCTCATATTAGTTGTATGAAGAAAACTTCCGGAATCTTATGTCCATTTGTGTTTTCTCTGCTGGAAGAAGCATGCAGGCAATGAAAATAATGTCTTGATAAGGTTGAAAACATCAGTTAAGTCTCAAACATGATTATTACTACTTTTTTTTTTTTTGCCCTCCCCTGCTAATGGCAGTTAAGATGGAATTTAGGGATTTGGTGAATATTCTACAGTTTCTTCCAGGATACTTAAAACAATCTCAAGTTATACAAGACCAGCTTTTCTATTGATTGTCAGTTCCTTTTTTGAAGTAGTAACCTATCAGGGGAAGTTCTGAGGGTACCTTGTACTGCATAGATGGTAACTGTTTATTTCATCATGGTACTCAAAAATCTAGAAGTGTATCAAATTCATTCTTGGAGGATTCAGAGTGACTCTTCAGAAAACATGTGAAAGCTGTCTTTAGTGTTATCTTCATGAGATGGAGGATTATTTTTAATTAAGCAACTCAAATTCTGGTACTATAAGGTCAGGAAGGTCATGGTAGTTCTTTGTACAGGTGAATCACCCCTGTTTTCATGAGATCACCTGTTAAAAGGAGAATTTTAAAAAGAAGAAAAATTGGATCAAAGATTACTCAGGTGGATACTTAAAATTCCTTTGTAAAAGAAACTTAAATTCTTACAAATGCCACCTCCAGGGCACCCATCCTTCAGTGAGGTCAGTAAGAAGTTACAGTTTAAATGAGAAAAGTGTTCCTTCTTTCTGGGATCTTCCTAGATCTCAGATACTAGGTGTCAGCTGCCTGATTGCTGTGCTTTCACAGAAAATGAACATGAAACAACACAGAGAAAGTAATGGGTATAGAAAACCCATGTAAGTGATAACTTTTCAATTAAGTGATTTGTACCTGGAAGTTTTTTGGCTTTATTTTTGATTGCTGACAAGTAGGTGCTTATGTTCTCCATGGTGTGACTTTAAGTTCTGTATGTTGAAGTTGGAGACCTCTTCTTGGCTCCTGTTTGTGATCCTAGACTTTTGAGATTAAATGAAACATGCAAAATGAAGATCTCATCAGGCTATGCAAAAAAGTTGCTTTTAGCCCCTTTTAATGCATCTGAACTTGTTTCTGACTTCTTCCTCTTTCACTCTTTTCTGAAAATCTGCACCTTTGCCCCCTTGGAGAAATGGGTCTGAGTTGTCTCAGACTACTGCATAAACATTATTTATCCTGTTGCATCTTGATGAGGGCTATTCCAGGGAGCCACATAAGGTTCTTCAGATATATGGTTTGAGGGCATGGATCTTGTGTATTGCCTTGCTAATTATAATAGGGGTTGTTGCAGTCCTGGTTGAGTCTACCTCTTGTAAATAGTCACTAAGCAGATACAGATGTGTCTCTACTGGAGCCTGCCCAGTCCCAAAGAGCCAAGCAGCCATCTCAGGTTTCTTGGACATACTCCACAGGCACAAATTTAGATGCATTCAGCTGCTCAGTGTGTTAGTGAAAGCCTAAACTGTAAGACATGCTAATCATAATTCTAAAAATCTGTTTGAGTAATAAGAATAAATATCTGCTCTGGGGCTGCTGTTCCTACCTTAGAAAAGGTAAGTTACATCCAGAGTGTGTTTTGTAATGGCATTCCTGTGACAGAAAAGTAGTTGGTTTAGGTCAGTTTCCCATTCTTCATAATGTCACTTTCCAGAATGCTAGTATTCTCATCGCTGTGATTTCCCTTTCCTGATCAAATAGTGTCCTTTAACTCTGTTACTTCTTGTGGGGTTTTTGTTTGTTGTTTTTATTTAATATTTTTTTTTGCCTTGTTTGGATCAACAATCAAAACGTCCTTTGTTCAAACTAGAATCAGAATAAGGGATCTTCTGATGGCAGTCTCCTTTACCACCCACCCTGTGTTTCAGCATGCTGGTCTCTTTGCCAGGAGACACTACTCTGCTGATGCATGAATGAGTAAGGTTTTAGAAAAATTCTTTCATCTATGCTAGGGAATCCTTGCCTGTCATATTCTATCCCAAGGAGTGGCAGCACGGATAGGTGGGGAAGGTAGGACAAGAAGGAGATAAAAGGGAAAATGATTCATTAAGATTTCTAGCATCTGGATTGTTGAAAGGTAGCATGAGATTCACAGACCCCATACAGTAAATCTAGTTTTAAGGTATCTTGTTACAGATTAGAAATGTGCTGATTCAATCTGTAGACACAAATTTCACTACAAAACTTAGATGAGTTAACTTCACCTTGGTGAGATTCATGCTGGCTTGGATGCTGCCTCTGTTCACAGAGCTGCTGTAGATACTATGTTCAGTGGTATGCTAAATCTGACTAACAGAGTTGGAGCTGTGTCAGGCCTGGGCACAAACTTGACTTGGCCATGATTAGTAGAGGTGCCACCTCAGTGCACATTCTTCAACATTCCAAAATCTGATGGTTTTTGAATCCAGTACCAGCACTTTACGTGTTCCTTCACTGTTAACAGTCATGTTCATGGCTTCTATAATATGAAACCTCAGGAAAACCTTTTTTTAAGGTTGCTCTCAGCCTGTTCTGACATGCTTCCACTTGAATGGAAGACTACTGTAACTAGCTTTTTGCCCATGGTCTGGGTGGTACAGGATGCAAATCCAGGTAGGGAGTGATTGATTTGGAACGTGAGCCGATGCTGCCAGCAGTTGGACAGAATGCAGGTTTCCTAACACATGAGGAAATTAGAGATTACACCACTGTCCTCTTTGACCAGCATGCTGCAAGTTACTTAGGCAAAGATCTAGAAGCAGTGTTAATTTCTGCATGCATTTTTACAGAGCAATTTGACATCAGTTCAGAAAGCAGCAAGAATTTAGATTTAACTTTAGAAAGAAGCACTGCCTTGGAATAGGCGTTTGTTTATTTAAAGCAAAGGCTTGCCTGAAAGTAGACACTGTCAGGTCTTAAATAATCAGAATGCCATAAGAAATGTTTTTAAGACTTCTTAGTTTTGCATCAGCATCTTGATTTTTTGCTTTTCTGTCCAGCTGATGGTCAGTGAACTTTAATTTGAAAATCTTTACCCTGTTTGTCATTTAATGTTGACTGATGAGGAACCTTTCCAACTGACTCTTAATGGTTGCATTGTGTTCCTGGCATTGACTCAGTTAAACTTTGACAATTTATACCCGTAAAAGTACTAGAGAACCTCTGCTTTGTTTCAGAGGGTTTTGGTGACCTGCTTCCTTTTTACTTATGTTAACTGCACTTGTGTTTAGATGAGAAGACAAAAATATAACTGTTGTTAAAAAAATTAAATGACATTTTTCCTATCTCAAGGAATGTACCCAGTAAAACTAATAAGCATCATTCCAAAATTAATACACATTTGTTCTGTTGTGGGGCTTGTAGCAGAATAGCAAAAGTCAGCATTTTTTCTGCCAAATTTTTGAAAATCCTGGGCCTTGTTTAGAGATAAGTGATTTCATATCACTGACAAGTCAACAGATAACAAATTTGCATTGAGAATGCTTGATTGCTTATTGAGCGTCTTTACTGAAGACTCTTGTAACAGATTGGACTGAAGCACAAAAGCTTTCTTTACAGGAACATTTAAAACTGTCTGATGTGCTCCCTTAATACTTGTACCAGATCATTGTGACTTTGGAGAGCTACAGGTGTGCCCTGAATACCTTGCTAGCCTTGTACACCTTGCTAGCCTTGTACACCTTGCTTCTGTGTGAGGCTTCTTCATGGCAACCTTCAGATGTGGGGAGTTTTATCTGGGACTGAGCCACAGGAATAAACTTCTCTGATACTGCATAGAGGTCTGCCTTCATAGATACTGGTGTTTAGAAAAAGATAACTTTTTACTTACTGAACACAGTAATAACATTTCAGTTTTAATCGAACTTTATATTAACAGAAAGTGAACAATGCTTTGTGGTCTGACTCTCCATCAGAGGCCTTTTTTTCTTTACAGGCTTTGTCCAGTGCGCTTAGGAGCTTGGGTGGGAGAAAGAATGGGACTGAATTGAGTGTTGAGGGTTATATTTGGAAATATTTTTTCAATTAACTTTAGTTTAGAGTAGATAATAGCAGTAGGTAAGAGACTAACTGGTTCCTTTTCAGCCATGGAAGTAATCAGCTGGGGTGGTCCCAGGGCGCTCTGGGCACGAGTATTGCTGGGTGATCATTGGCTGCCACCTGCGTGACAAAATAAAGGACCAACCCTACAATTTGTACCGTGGAGCCAGATCACAGGAGACAGTTGACAGGTAAAATACCCTTTTGAAAATTTAAGGGAGAGAAGAGTAGATGCGGCTTAAATGGAGCAAGGAACCTAAAATATTGGCCACAGATAGTAAGGGTTGTTCCTCTGAAACTTTTACATAGCTTTAGCCTACTTTATTGTGGGGAGAGGCACATGGCAAAGTGCAAGTTACATGCTGCTCCCCTGGGAAAACGGAGCCTCATTAGGAACCAGTATCAATTAAGTTGTGGCAGATAAACGACTAATGGAATTTTATTGTAGTTAGAAATTACAGTTCATATTTATGCATATGCTTCCAAATCTTCAAATGCTTGTTGTCCCGATGTTGAGTGCTTTCCACTTGTCCAAAAGATGGATTTTAGTTTTTTCAGAGAGGCTAAAACTAAGTTGATGAATTTTCAAGTTCATCAGTTGAGTGTACTGTAATGAGTTACTCCAGAAGTCTTAAAATGCCATTCAGAAATTAACTTTTTTTTTTGTGCAGTAGGTCTTAATCTTGCAGTTAAAACAATGCTTAACATCAGTATTTTTTTCTTCTGTTTTATGATTTTTATTTAGCAGACTGGCTGAAAATAATTTGTAAGGACTTACAACTAAATTATTTTTAATTATTTAGAGTTGTTGAGCTTATGCTTAGCCCAGCGTGATACAGGACTGGTGTGACAACTCGTTTTTAATCAGTGAATCAATTGTGATCACCCTGATGTCACCGAATGGCCACAGCTTGTAAAAGGTAAGTATCAAGTGTACTGTGTTGTTTCTCAGGATCAGTATGTTTCAGTTTAATATTTATTTTTAAAGTATTTTGTTTGTAAGGCTTGAAGTTAGTTTTGTAAATAGTATTAAGGTGTATTGTTTGTTTAAGATAAATCATTTGTCAAAGTTGACTTGCGCTCTTGCTTAGAGTGATTTCGAAGCTTGCTTAGCTTGTCTCTGCCTGCTTTCTACAATAGGAGCACTGTGGTGCACTGTGATAGTCCTCTTAAGACCAATATTACCACTTTTGTCTCTGGTGTTTTATACTGTCACACTGAAATTCTGTATAAATTTTTTAGCATTCTTATTCAAGGAGTGGCTTGCAGAATGGAGAAGTTGCTCCCTGTGTTATTGGAAGTGAGCCACCATTTCAATTTGCTAGCTCATACTGCAGTATTCAGATTAGTTAGTGTCTTGTGATCCGTATCTAAGATCTAATTCAAAGCTGAAATTTATAAGAGCATTTGCTCTGTGATTTTCTCTGAACAGAACTCTTGTTTCAGATTTTAAGCATGATGAAAAGACGTCTTGCCATACTGTATAGTTCTTTCTTCATACTGTTGCTTGCTCAGAGGAATAACAAGGTATCTTGTTTGTAAACAATTGGGTATTGCAGAATAAATAGCTTCTCAACAAATATTACATTTCCTATAATTAGATTGATGTTCCACATTGTTTTAATGAGTCCTGAAAGCTCATTTTATCTGGTGCTTATATCACCGTTTGGAACCTTTTAAAATCTGGTTAGTAATTGCATTAATACTTGTACAAATCATAGTTATGCTAGGTCTGTTCATGCTATAGAAAACAAATTAGCTGAAGGAGTTTGATCCCTGTTTTCTCTAGAACCATTTACCTTAAAGGACCAAACCTTTTTTTGACTCAGATAGGTTTATTTTTTTCTGAACTTTCCTAAACCTGTGTCTTATATTATTGTCTTGCAGAATATTTTTTTTTTTTTAGCATAATAGCATGTACTAACTGCTGTCTGTTCAAAGCCCAGGTAAAACTCACACAAATGTTAAAGATAGGAAAAGATTTTGAGTGTACAGATAGCTGTGATTGCATCTGTACTGCAAATTACCAGGCTACCTTTTTTACATATGTTTAGGTGCCAGTCTGCTTTTTTTCCTCTTAATTTTTCATACTGCTGCATATTTTGAAGGCTCAAAGCATCTTCTTGGTGTTTGTGATTTAATGCTATTTCACCTGTACTTTCTAAGCAACAAAGGTTCATTGTGTCATATGACTAAAAGATCACAACTGCCTCAAACTTCCAGTCTCTTTGCTATCAGTTTCTGAAGTCCTGAATGTGAATAGAGAAGCTAGTGAGTATGAACATAATAAACACTCTTGTTTCCACTGTTCTTCAGGTCATACGACTTCTAGCACTTGGATGCTTAGGCGAATAACTAGAAAAAAAAAACAACTAAAACTGAAGTTTTTTTCTCTCTGCTAAGTATTTAGTGACCTGGTTTGGTCACTGGAGTTGAAGGGAAATGAAATTTTGATTTGTTTTGCTGTTGAGCATTTTTGTCAGCAGCTGTCTTGTCAGTCCTGAACTTCACACAGTGAGGGGAAACATCATTTGGAGGGAATAAATAAAGACCAAATTTTGAAATTGGGCAGTTATTATTTCCCAGCTAGAGGGTATTTGCATTTTAAGCATCAGTATAAGATCAGCTGGATGGTAATTTCAGAATTGTTGCTAGTGTTAGTTGAATTTTGTCACTTGGTGAAATATAAACAGATTACTTCCTGTGTTCTTCAACTGTCACTGCATGATATCCAGCTTGCCTAGGAATTTTTAAGTTGTCTGCCAGAAATGCTTTCTAGGCACTGGATCTGTTAGTGTGGTACAGTTTGGTAATATCCAGGAAGTTGCTCTGGTATGTCGGTAAATGAACTAAGATTTTAGTAGAGAATTGAGAGAATAGTCCAGGCTTTACTAGGAGGAACCACCCAGTAAGGTAGCACAATGAAACATGAAAAAAAAAAAATGTTTCAGGCTACAGGTGGAGATTTCCAAGAGTGTTTCATATATATAGTCATATAGTAAATAGAGAAATTCAGGAATTCCATTCCTCTAAACAAAGATTTTCTCAGTGAAGCTATGGCAAGGCCTGCTTAGCTGTGCTAACTGAAGGCCTGTAGCAAACTGTTGAAGCCTACAAAGTGAGTTCTATTTGAAGATTTTTAGTTCACTTCTGTTTTAAGAAAGCTGTCATGAAAGACATTTTTGTTCATGTAAGCTACAGAGTTTTATTGCAATGGCTGTGCTCTGTTTCCGCTTCTCGGGCAATGTATCCTTTGTGTCAGTTATGGTCAGCTGTACCAAAGTCTATACCCAAGTGAAGGTTGGCTATGTTCTTAAGGTATGATTCTCAAGGCAGCTAAGGTGATTGAAGTTAAAACTGCTGCCATGTCTCCTGGCTCATTGGCTACAAACTCACAACATAGGAGGAAGTCCTGAAGGAAGGAAAAAAATAATCAGTATAAAAAAATCTATTAAATGTTAACTTCTTGAATTTGTGCTGCATAAGGAAGAAGATGATAATAAAGAGGAGCTGTAATTTAGCCTACTTAAGTTAATATGGAACTATACCCCTTAACTGAGTCTGTAAATTAAGTCAAGCTGCTGTTTTTGTGTTCAAAAATGTTGGGCAAAAACCTAATCCTGAATATTACTGTCTGACCTGTTGGTTGGAAGGAAGAAACAGCTGCCTGCAAGATTATTTCCATAAATTCAATTTGAGAGATGTATGAAATTTATTTTGAGATGCTGTTGAGACCTGGTTTGGAGCTGCTGCTTGTTAGAGTCCAGCTGTGCAGAAAATTTTTTTGTAACAGTTGATCAATGGTAAACTTTGAGTATATGTTTTAGTTACAAAATTGATTGTGAAGGTTTAGCCCAGAAGTGGTGTAGTATGTAATCTGAATAAGGAAGTACTGCCAGCAGAACTCTTCTCTAATGCCTGCTGTTGTGTAAGCTGTGAGGGAAAAAGTGCTGTCCTCCTTAAAGAAATTTGTCTTAATTATATTGTCAGGGTTTACATTATAAATTGTCTTCTAGGGTTTGGTCAAACAAACTGAATGTGGAAGTGCATAGAAGTTGATGTTTTTCCTGGCAATAATACAGTATCATCACTCTCCACCTTTCCTAATTTCATATTGTAATGACTTACAAAACTTTAAGCATTATTTGTTATTTTATCTGTATTTGCAGATCACCAGGAGAACCTCACTCTGAAAACATTGAAACTAGCCGAATGTAAGTAAATGAGTGGATGAGTTTGGTATATCTTGTTTCAAAATGTTTTGGACATATGTAGCAATCTTGCACCTGCTTAAAAAAGAAAAAAAAAAGATGACCAAAGCTGAGGTGAGCTGTGGATTTACTGTAGAAAATTTCAAGGTAACATTTTGCTTTGGAAAAATAAATAGCTTTAAGAAACTGATGGTTTTTTGGTTGGTTGGTTGTGGTTTTTTTGTTTTTTGTTTTTTTTTTTTAATTTTTTTTTCTGATAGTGAATAGGTTGAAAGTTCAGGCGTTTAATTTAATGTGAACCAGTAGATGGTAGCATAATACAGTGTCAGAAATCTTCAGGCCTGTCTTCAGACTTGACAGTAGGGGTGTAATTTCTACCTGCTGTTCACTAACATCTTGCATGGGTTTGAAGACACTTCAGTACTAAGGCACAATACCTGCTAATATCTGTTGTGGCAGATGGATTGCTAAACTCAAAAGACTAAAAAAGGTCTGAATTTGTCATGCACATACTAGTTAATTCTAGAAACAGAATGCTGGCTTTCTTAAGTTTAAAATACTAAACAGTATTCATGTAGCATCTTGTTCACACTTTTGGACCTTGTTTTGGTATATCTTCATTAGCCTAGAAGCCAAGATTAACTAGAAGCATGATTGTGATAGGCTGAAATCTTCATTTCAAATTTTAAAGGGTTGCACGTATGAGAGAAACATAAAAAAAAAGAAAAGTTATTTGAGGCTTTATTCTTCTCTAAGTTAGTAAACACATTCTTTTCTAGCTATTCAAACTGTCCTGTCATAGAACTCTGAGAAACCACAAACTGCTTTTCTGGCTTAGAGCACAAGTTCCAAAATAATAGAGAGAGCATAGCTGAGTAGTTAGGGTACTGTCTGAAGCTTTGAAGGATCTGTGCTCATTTCTCTTCTCTGCCTACAAACTTCTCTGATCTTAAACTGTCTTCTCCACACCCTCCCCCCGAGTGGTCTAGCATTCTATACACTGTGGCTGAACGCGAGTTTCAGGATGTTTTGCAGGCTTAGGGATATAGTGTGAATTGCTCAAGGACTTCTGTGCTGTAGCTGCCCAACTTGGAGATGAGCAGAGCTGAAGTGCCCACGTCGGACTGCATACCTAGCCTTAAAAGTGATGAGAAGGAAACAAGGAATGCTTTTCCCGTGTGTTTTTAACAAGTCTCTGCAGTGAAGTCTTTTCTTGTGCAGGGATTTTTCCTGGGAGCTCTTTTCCCTCTCATGCACATCTGTTACAGAAGTGCTGTCTAGCTGCTTTTTTAGGAGTACAGGTTGCAGGGATACAGACCTTAGAAATGACTGGCTGTTGCTGTGTGAACATGTTAGAGGCAGAGGTTGCAGAGCAAAAAATCTGCCATAGTCTCTTCTGCTCCAGTAGCAGCCCTTCCTTCATTGTGTTTTATTGTTCCTGCAGTTTAGTTTTGTGTTCTTTTGTTTCCCTGGCCTAGTCAAACAGGGGAAATCAGTCTGTAGCCTGGTTAATAGTATGCTCTGCATATTGTCAGTTGGACTAGTGCTTTTTACACATCGTAAGGAAAGATGTGTTGGAAACAAGCATCTTGACTGGCATGAAATAAAGACTCTGTAAGGACCTATGAAAAATGAGAAGGAAAAGGCAGTATAACTTTTTATGCTAGCAGTTTGACAGTTCTTTTTTGTATGTGTTCTTATCCTTAAAACTGAACCTGGAAAAGTATCTACAGTAGCAAACTTTTCTGTGGGAAAACTGATTTTTTTGGTGCAGAATGATGATTGAAGTTGCCCTGTGGTTTCAGGTGTCTGTCTAAAATAGATGTAAGCCAGTAAGCTGTAGGGATTCGCGTATTTGAGTAGTAGTTACACAATATTAATGCATGGTACTATTTCAAAACTATATTTTTTTAAGTGTAACACAATGTGATGGTACATTACTTAGAGAATTTCTGCAATCCTGCTGCGTGGCTGCTCTTGCCACATCAGGTGGAATGGCAGGCTGGGTAATACAGTGTGACCTGCAAGCCTACTGTGTAGCTAAAATAGTTACAATGTTATGTACCTGACCTTTATTCATTCATAAATACAGGCACTTAAGCAAGTATTTTGTTATTTGCACACTGAATGGTTAAGTTGGTTTTGCTCTGGTTGACTGACATAATTGCTATTTGTTTGTTTTGCATTGCAAAGCTTTATACCAAGAGCATAGTCATATATGTTTCACGTGTGGGAATTAAAATAAAAAATCAACTGCCTCTTTCATATTCTTAAGCAGCAAATTCTTTCATGCAGAAGTCTTGCTTATCCAAAGCTATTCAAATTCTGGCTCTATGCATGATCAACATCTTAGTTTGAACTCAGCTTTAAGTCTTTTTTCCTTAGCATTCATTCGAGTCTTTGAATTTTTTAAGATCCTGTCACAGTTCTACATTAATTTTCAGCTTCAATTTAGTATAACTTTCTTAAAACGCTTTTAGCGCTAAATTATATAAATTTGTTTAGTGTGACAATAACTTGGCTTCTTATCAGTTCATGTAATTACACTCTATCTCGTCACATATCAAGGCAAAGGTGTGGGTATTTTGATATGCTGGCTTTCTGTGCATTCATCTTTAATTTCTGTTTTTGAGGATTGGATGCTTTCAGATTTGAAACTTCCTCCCCCTTTTTTTATCAAAAATCTGACATCGCACACACACCTCACACATATTTAAAGGGAGTAGACTTGATAGTTGACTTGTTTCCTTTGAAATAATAGAAAAATGAAAATTCTGCAGCAGCCACAAAATGTGCCAGAAAAACAAATTGCAACCAATGCAAATATGTACAGTAACTGTATTAGTGTTTCATACTACATACTTGCAGATGACATCCTAGTGCTTTCTAGACAGAGTGCCTTAAATTAGTTTCTAATTAGTCATAGCTGAAAGCAGAGGTGGGTTTGCATGACATAACCATGGGACATGCTGCTCCTGGCCTCTGTATCAAACTTTGACACATAGGGTGATTTGTGTGGCATTTACTGCTTGTTTTATTGCCATTCTTCAGAGAAAAAGGTGTAAGAAATATCTTTATGTACACCTGCAGCCTTGCACTGTATTGTACATGGCAAGGGGGTTGGAACTAGATGATCTTAAGGTCCTTTCTAACCCTGACTACTCTGCTATTCTGTACTGTGGTATGTGTAGGATGAATGAAAAGATTTCTTCTTGGAGCCTCTTGCAATGCGTCATTTATACCCAGACAGTGATTCCCCTGAGGAAGCTTCATCAGTTAATAAGACTGCATTGACCCACTCAAGAATTATTACTTTCTTAAATTTAGCAGCTACTTAAGTTACAACTAAGTGTCTGGTTTACCTTTACTTCCAAGAGCAAAAGTGCAGTTGTATAGAAGTGCAGTTTGGCCGAGTTTTATAATGAAAGAAAGGGAATTCCAGGTTTTGCACTAGAAGACGTAAGTGGAGCAAATGTATTGTAGTCCTCGGTTCCCATGGAGCTTGAAGGATGCTGTAAATTTACCAGTTAAAAATAGATGAAAGAAAGCTTAAAGAGGAGAGATCATTCTCTCTGGAGCTGTCTAATCCATGAATGGTAGGTTGTTGTTAAACTAGAAACTTAGGTGTTTCAGTCTTATGATCCATATGATTTGTACTTAGTTTCTGCATGATCATGGTCATCCTTCTAGGACAGTGTCATGCAGACTGAAGGCATAAGGAAGGAATGCTACCATGAAAGCCTAATTTGAACATGTTCTAGAGTCTCTACTAAGAGAGTTGTGTGATTTTCATTTGCTTGTACATGGTGATATTTCTTCAAGTTGTACAAGATTGATCAGCATTTATGTCTCTTTGCAAGTCCTATGGTGGTTAGATACAAATCAGTATTTTTGTCTGAAATATTTTGTCTCCCATGTCATGCTTTCTACTGAAACACTACAGTGGTCCAGAAGTAGACAATTGGAATCAGTGTCTTCAAGTTATTGTCTATATCTTTCGATATCTCACTGCAGTGCTGATTTTAATCTCCTTTCTTTGCTTGGGCTGCTGATCAGAATACGGGATATAAATTTCATACTTGAGAAAGTTAAGCTTTTTCAGTAGAATACATGAAGTTTAATTGTACTTGCTTGAGTGCCACGACTTCTTTAATAGAGGGAAAGCATCCTAAAAAGTATGTCATATGCTTAATGTCTGATTAAAGTATGCACTACTAGTTTTGTCTTGAATATAAAAGGCTGAAGGATTCCTGCAACTCTGTGAAGTTACTGTCATTTCATTACTTTCCAATACAGTCAAAATGGGTTTTATTGTGGCCTAACAGCCAGTACAGAGTATTAGAGTTTAGGATTCTGTACTAGATAATTTAAAACAAAATTTGGAGAACTGTTGAAATGTTTTGTGTGGTTAGAGATGATTATTCTTTGGGGGTTTAACAGCTGATAACAATTATGTACTTTTCTTTAAAATACTAACAAATTTGTTCAAAGAGAGTAAGATGTTGTAAGCTTATAATCAGTCCAACTTAGTAATATGTTTATCCTGGCAGTAACTCAAATTTCTTTATAGTTAAATAAATTTATGGGCTTTTCTGTGAAGGATGTATTTCTACCTTCAAAAGGTACTAATTCTGTAAAAATGAGTGTAATATTTAAAACACAGTCAAGTATGCCTGCAGTCATTACCAATTATAAAAATTGCCTAATAATTGTTTCCCTGTAATCAGTTACTTAATGGCTTCAGGCCTGTAATACTGTGAGGCTTGGGTTGGAGAAGATGGGGAGCAGGGACTGGGGATTTTTCCTGAAATTGCTTATTGAAAAGCCAGGATGTAATTGATGCATAATTCATCTCTCAATTTTATGGCTAATTGAATGTTGGAGGATCACATAGGTGACAGGGCACTGCGATCCTTCTTAAGGACAGATAGGAACCACAGTATGAAACCAGTTGGGGTGTGGAATGACATTATTTCTGAAGAGTCCTGAAACTAATAACCTGA